ACATGGCAGAGGATACCCCAAACCTGACTGAGGTGTCAGTTCTGCTCTACAATGTCCAAAGGTATTCCGTGGCATTCTTTTTATGCTGGTCAGCCCCTTCCCAAGTCCAAGAACTACTATGCTGACAGAAGCTGGTTTACTGTCCCAGTATGTCACAAAGAGCAGAGAACAGCCCAATGAAGACGTGAGCAACAATACAGGAAGTGAGAGAAGAATGTCATGACAAACATATCCCATACCCTTGAGGAGAAGTTAACATCTGGGAATAAAAATATTCCCTCCATAAGAACATTCAAAAGAAGAGATTGTGTCAGTCTCCTGTGATCCCAAAACCTCTTCCAGGCCACTGCACGGTTTTCAAGCAAATTTCAACAGATATGAACTCACTGCAAAACAGACAAAATACAGAACAACTCTGATCCCTCTTCTATTTTGCATCAGAAAATTCAGAGCTGGGGCAGAGAAGAGAACGGTGAACAAATTCAGTGGCTGGGAGAAGCTTCTGGGTCCCTCTGAGTCCTCATCAAGCATCACAAATGTCAGGAAAATGTTCCTCTGTAGCTGAGAATGTTCCCCTCTCCCTTCTGTTGTTTAACAGCCTAAGGAGCTCTCCACAGAAGAAATGTGCACTTTTTGCTTTTTAAGAGGGACCAAAAAAGAAAAAAAAAAAAGTTTTGGGTGAGAAGAACCTAGATCCAACCCCCTTCAAGACTTTGCAAACTTTCTCACCTCCTCCAAGAAGTGTGAGCACTAAAAGGAAGTTTGTACTGGGGCCTTGAGAAATCCAGCCTCAGAAATTCCATGCCCAGGGAACTCACTGACTCCTTACCAGTGACTTAATGAAAGCTACAAGCTCTCTGGGCTCCCTATATGAAAAAAGGCAATGTACAAGAAAACCTTATAAAGAACTCATTCTATAAACTGAAGGAAAGCACAGCTAGTACCTTTCTTCCCTTTTTTCCTCCTTTATAAAGCAAAAAACAACCTGATCCCCACTCAAGGGTCATTTGATGCTGTAAGCTTTGCCAGCCCCAGTATCCAGCTGAAGACAAATTGGCAATCAGAACCAAGTCAGAAGTGTATAATGGGCAAAAACAAGTTAGCCTGACTTAAATATTAACCTGCGGCCTAAGCAAATTTTTAAAATTTAAAACAAACAAACCAAATGACAGGCAAAGTAGACACCCTTGGAGAATACATATGTACAAATGACTTGTGCACTGATCAATTGTAATTAAGCACAGACCTCACTTGTCTTAAATTGCTTAACTGTTCAAGAAATGTGTCAGGCTCCCACAAAATCTGTTTAATTTTTTCCATGCTACTCAGCATAAACTGGAATATAGCAAAAAGGATAAATAAAAAAATATTATGGACACAGACAACAGTGTGGTGATTGCTGGAGAGAAGGGTGATAGGGAGGTGGAGGAGGTTATGGAAGGGATAAATGGTGAACACACAATACATTGTATAGATGATGTTACAGAATTGTGCACCTGAAACCTGTGTAATTTTGTTAACCAGTGTCACCCCAATAAATTCAATAAAAAGGAAACAAAAAAGATTGTAAACAGAACTATACCTTGATTAAAATTAAAGCTACTTCAGGAAGAGTTCAGGAGAGTGAAGCTCAATGTGATTTAATAGCCTACCTTAAATGCTAGTTTGTGCTTGTGTTTTTTTGTTTGTTTGTTTTTTATTGGTTTTAGAGAGGAAGGGAGAGGGAGAGACAGAAACATCGATGATGAGAGAGAATCATTCAGCGTCATCCCCTCACACATTGGTGTCTCTCTCTCTAGCCTGCAACCCAGGCATATGCCCTGACCGGGAATAGAACCATGACCTCTTGGTTCATATTAAAAAGAAAAAAAAAAGCTGTATGAGGATTAACAATACACTAGGAGAAAACAAAAAGTGCCTTCCTCTTTTCAGAGGTCCCTGGACAACTGGCATTTGCCATCAAGACTGAGATGCAACAGATTCACAACCAATATTCTCCATCTAAACATTACAGGCCTATCTTAGCAGCAACGATCTGAGATGGTATGAGGGGAGAAGGACAAAAGGACAAGCAATGAAGATAATAATCATAAAGGCAGCCAAGCCTTTGTGAGCTCTTACTAGGTGCCAGACACTGTGCTAAGAGCCCGACTTGTGCTAATTCATTCAATCCTCTAGATCAGTGGTTTTCAACCTTCCTAATGCCGCGACCCTTTAATACATTTCCTCATGTTGTGGTGACCCCCAACTTCATTGTTACAAATTGAACATAATTAAAGCATAGTGATTAATCACAAAAACAATATGTAATTATATATGTGTTTTCCGATGGTCTTAGGCGACCCCTGTGAAAGGGTCGTTCGACCCCCAAAGGGGTCACGACCCACAGGTTGAGAACCGCTGCTCTAGATTCTCCTATGAGGCTAGTGCTAGTATTAGTCCTAGTTTAGAGATTAGTAAGCACAGAGGTTAAGTAACTTTCCCATGTTAAGATAGCCAAAATGAGGCAGAGCCAGCATATAAGCCATCCAATTCCCCATACTGAACTGGAGCCAATCTCCAGTCAAACATATCAACTACTTTTCTGTGGCACTTAATAAGCAGAACAGATTCACCCTCTACCAAAAGCTGTAGGTCAAGGAGCATGAAGAATGAAGCAATACTGCTTAGAACTGCAAGCCTGAAGGTGGAGTGCAAAATGGATCAGCTAAAGTTTAGCTGATTAGTTTAGCAGTTTAGTTCTAAACTGCTGAAACCAACCAACCGACTGGCTGTGAGTAGCACAGAGATGTTCTGCAGGAAAGCATGGTTCCCCTCCACAGGATTAGAGCCTTCATCTAAAGTGACTGAGGCTCTTGTAAACCTTGTTCTATAAGAACGGAACTCCTTATCCTTAAGACTGTCTACCATTTCAACTTTTGGAATGACAGTCCATTGTATTTTCAACCTGTGGGATAAACAGCTCTTCCCCCTACCCCCGTTAAATTTCAAAACGCACTCACTCCCCTGGTCCAACTATTCAAGTTTATGTTCCCCATCAATGTCAACCTCCTCCCCCCATTCTGAGATGAAAGCTCCAATACTATACCCATAATTTTAGGTGCTACCTCTGGGCATGATTGTGCAGCATAACACCCTTTTCTGGACAATAATGGATACAGCATTCTAAGAGCTGAGCAACCTGAAACAATGCTTTCTACTTAGTTTCTAATCCTCTTCCACTGATGTCTTCAAGTCACCATTAACAACAGTTTCTGGATGCGTTTCCTATATTGGTACTAGAGGCCCAGTGCACAAATTCGTGCATGGGTGGGGTCCCCTGGTCTGGCCGGCAATTGGGGCCTTGTTGCCCAGTCCCCACTGGGGCCAATCGGGGCCAGCCAGCCGGGGGGAGGGACCAAGGGAGGTTGGCTGGCTGCGGGGGGTTAGCTGTGGGAGCGCACTGACCACCTGTGTTGAGCGTCTGCCCTTGGTGGTCAGTGCGTCCTCATAGTGACCAGTTGAGAGGTCAACTGGTCGTAATGGTCACTTAGGCTTTTATAAATATAGACAGATGGTAGGCTTAAGGCCCTAATATCTTGTTTTTAAACAAATACGTACATTATTTTATATCTTCCCACAACAAATCTCACTCTCACAGCTGTGGGAGATTTTTGGTGGAGCAAGGGAATACAAGTATGCTCAAGCTTGAATATCCTATAATATAGTATGATATTTGTAACATTTAGGTTAAAGGGACTTACTCCTCACATCTCATGTAGAACACAGATTAAGGGGACACCATAACCTAACAGCCAAGGCATCCACACAATAAAAAGGAAAATGTATGTCCAAACACATTATCTTGGAAGAGAGAAATGGAAAACTGTAAGAAGTTAGAAGGATAAAACATTAATGAAATACAGATTTTAGGAGACAATGCAATCGAATTAATATGTTACAAAAACTTTGCAGGGAGAGGAAAATTGAGATACATAATAATAGTCAATGATTTTTAAAGGCAAGCACAGAAATGTGAACTTGACTGGAAGGACACTGAAAACAAACTCTTTCATGACTGTAGCCACTGCATTTGAGTACTCCACTAAGAAAAATTAGGTAATGGTCTCTGCTTCAACAATATAAGGTGCAAAGGGCTGAAATGATAAGAATATAATCAACTAAGACATGGGAATCAAGGTTCTCCAATATGAACAGGAATTTTCGGGGGGGGGGGGGGATCAGCAGCAAATATCACACTATCCAGGTAATCAATTGCACAACTGACCTTGAGCCACAGTTAGGCTGGAACATGGCAGTCTTGAAGATGGGCATTGAGACTGAAGGCCCTCATCCCCTTTGTCTTCTCCCACTTTCTCCAAGCCCCTAAAACTTGCAGTTCTCAGCACAGAGGGCACGAGGTCAAAGGTCAAAGTTGCCTTGCATGGCCTTTGGTGAACTAACAGGGCCTCCCAAGCCCTTACTAGGTAACTTTACAAAGTGCTACAAAAGTGATGACTATTATTATTCTTTGTAACCCAGCAAGCAAAAGAAACACACGGGAGGTTGAAAGGAGATCCTTTAGGAAAGCAGAAAACTGCTCTTAAAAAGACCGTATAATTCTACAAAGTTGCAGGTCTCTGGAAGCAATTCGGGTGTAAGCCAAGCAGCAAGCAAGCAAGTTATGTCTCAACCTTGGACACACACAACACTATCTTCTCTCTGCAGGAGCCAGTTCCAAGTGTATTCGCTAGCACGCTCCACCCAGCCCTCTTCGGGTGGAATTTAGAGACGAGGAAACTGAGGCTCGGCCCCAAGACACTGTCTCTTTGGGGAATGACCACTCACAGGCCCAGAGGCAAGACGTTTCAACCACACCGGGGAGGAGCCTGGTGGCAATTCCCGGGTCTCCCGCGGACCCCGGCCTCTCCGCGGATCACCCCGCCGAGTCGCGGCCCGCCAGCGCTCTCAGCTCAGGTGGGCAGCAAAGGAGCGGGGTGCGCTGCCAGGGGGCGGCTCACCTGAGCGATGCCGGCGCCCATCAGCCCACCGCCGATGACCGCCACGTGCTTGATGACGATCTTCTTCGCCGTGGCTGAGGCCGTGGACGAAGAGGACACACTGCGCACAAACTGCCTGGTTACGAAAGCCATGGTGCTGCGGGCAACACGGAGGCGGCCCCGGCGTCCAAACTCGGCGAAGGCGCGACTGCGACGCTCCGACGGCCACCAGACCTCTGGGGGCGGAAACCAGGCGGCCCCGCCTCCCGGCGCTCCCCGGGCGTTATCGTGACGTCACCGGAGGCGGGGCGGGGCCCTGAGGCCCGCTCAGCTCATTGGCGGAGGCCGTGGGGACGGCTTTCCAGCGTCGCAGCGCGGCAGGCGCGGGCCGCCGTCTTCCTCCGCGGAGCTGGGGGCTCTCAGCCGCGGAGCCTGGGGTTGGACCCCGGGTCGCAGCGGGGCAGGGCGGTTAGCGCGCAGGCCATTCCTCGGAAAGCCACGGACGCCTGGTAAGATGGAGGCGTAGTGTTGACTTCTTAAATCATCGCCTTGGATGCTCGTGCAAACCTCAGCGCTGAGTTTATAAGGGATCTTTGGTGGTGGTGATGACGGGACCTAAAATGAGCAACTTGATTCATGTCACCTAGTAACCAGCTCTAGGGATTATTTTATTCCGGTGGATAATGAGTGTTGTCTGCTAAAACGGAAAGAAACTAACTGCTCAACAATCGAAATAAATGTCTAAGGGACCATGAGTCCCAATGTAAAGATCACGCCCAGGGAATTAGTTACCCATTTCAACGTTAGACATCTGAGGGCTTAAGGTCAAAGGGCAACCTTTGGAGAGTCATTGATACCAACTAGGCTAATGGCCCTCATGTGAGTAATTTCGAGTTACTATAACTTAGTAATAGAGAACGTTATTCATTTAATTTTTTTCTTTATTGATTAAGTTATTACATATGTGTCCTTATCCCCCCATTCCCCCCCTCCCCCAGCCCCCCACTCATGCCGTCATCCCCCTGGTATCTGTGTCCATTGATCAGGCTTATATGCAAGCATACAAGTCCTTTGGTTGATCTCTCCCCCTTACCCCAACCCTCCCCTACCTTCCCTCTGAGGTTTGAAGGTATGATCGATGCTTCTCTGTTTCTGGATCTGTTTATTTTTTATTTTTTAAATATGTAATAAGAACTCACAAACTCACCATCAAATCAAGTAGGCCTCCTCCTGTGGGATGTAGCTATTATAAGGAATTCTGTGTTCACCATTCCTTTGCTTTGATCTCATCTAATCCTGTAAAAATATGGGAGAAGCACTTTTGCTGAGGACTGTTGGGCTTGGGAGAGATAGGGTCACATCCAAATAGTAAAGTCCATTAAATGCTAGAATGTAGCAAATGCAAAACTCCATGGGATCAGAAATGGAAAAGGAAAATTACACAGAGAAGCCCAGTAATATAAAGAATAAGTGTATTAGAAAAGAAAGGTTTCAAGCCAGAGGAAGCAGCACATGGCAAAGGTAGAAGCAAGAAAATATTGCTTCAGGAGAAGGACGAGGAATTAGGTGTGATGAGAGCAAAGATGATAAATTAGGAGGATGCATGGATGATTCCTTAATGGATTTTAACCTTTCACTCTCAGTTACAAGTTGTGTCTAATGCAAGGCCAAACATGTTCTAATGACAGTGTTGTCACTATATTTTTTAATTTAATTTTTTGTTAAGCCTCACCCGAGGATATTTTTTCCATTGATTTTTAGAGAGAGTGAAGTGGCGGGGAGAGGGAGAGGAACATCAATGTGAGAGGGACACATTGATTGGTTGCCTCCCACATGCGCCCTGACCCAGGGGCCCTGGATCAAACCTGCAACCGAGGTACTCGCCCTTGACCCGGAATCAAACCTGAGACCCTCCGGTCCACGGCTGATGCTATAACCAGCGAGCCAAACTGGCCAGGGCATCACAATATATATTCTTTAAATGTGTGTAATGCCAAGAATGATGCATTTGCAGATCCATGATTTGTTTTCCTCAGGAAAGGAAAAATAACCAGTGCTGTATTTTTGAGTGACTCTCAAGTCTGAGGCTATCTGTATTATGTAAACATGTGATGTTGAGAAAGGACCACTGAGTGAGAGGAGCCCTGGCTCAGTCCCTGGTGGGCTGTATGACCATCGTCAGACACCTCCTGGGCTCCCGTGTCTTTGTCTATCAGAAGAAACGTTTGGACAGATAACTTTGCAGCTGTTTTATACTGAGAGTCTAACTCCCATTTACCGTCTTCTGAAGCAAGGGCCACCCTGCCCCAACTCCTGCACAATCCTGATCAGTTGACAGTTACAATAGAATCATTCTCCTTTTGCCAGGACTGCTAGTCTTTTCCCAAGTGTGGCCTTGGGCTTTCGGGTGCCCAGTAACGATTTCTGTGGTCCTTGCCTTGCACAGTCACCCTGTTCTTGGGGTCATGCTTCCTTTCTGCAGAATGGAGTGCTAGGAAGTGTGACCTTGGTCATTGAGCAAAGAAAAGGGCTGGCACAGAGAATGGAGTAAGTAATGATTACTTTGTTTTGTCCTATAAATGGATCATTGTAATATTTAAAATGTTGATATCAAAGAAGCATTATTTTAAAATATACATGGTGGTGGGCTCTGGGAGTGGCAGAAGCAAGGAGTGCCATTGGCCCTTTCCCTCCAACAAATTGGCAGTAAACAAAATGTATCAAAGCCTTCCAGTCATCCTGCTTTGTGAGGTAGGTAGGCAGAGTGGAGCTGACACTGTATTCACAGTGTCATGTGATAGACACAATGACCCAAGGACAGTGTGTGTCAATCAGGAACACTAATGGGGGAGGATTCCCTGAGTACATTTGAATTTTCCTTCTATTTGTGGGAAATGAATGATTTCTGGCTTACTGGGGAAACAATGTTTTGTTGAGTGCTTTTTAGATTTCTTATGGCAGAAAACCAGATTTCATGTGACTATTCAGGGTGGCCCAAGAGCAAAGCCCAGTAAGTTTAACCAAAAGCTAACCTACTGCAAATTTAGTGAGGGTTGACATTGCCACACATGTTAACAGTGTTTTCAAGGAAATTAGTCATATGATATGCATAAAATATATAGTTAGCTTGAGAAGGGCAGTCATGTATTGCTGTATCTCACTGAAATATATTCTCTCATAAAACATGTAAGGCAAAATCTCTAATAACACTGAACAATTTTACAAATAATTTTATCTTCTTTAGCTTTTAGAAAAAATTTATCATGGCGAACTTTAAGCTTTGATCATGTTAGCAGCTGTCTAAATACCAACTGTTCTCTACTTTTACCTTTTCCTCTACTGAGGAAATTCATTAAATCCTCACAATTACCCAATTTGATAAGTACTAAAGCTACCCCTCTTTTATATGTAAGGAAACAGGTCCAGAGAGGTTCAGAAACTTGGTCAAGGTCACACAGCTAGCCAATGGCACAGGCAGAATTCAAACCCAGAACAGTCTGTTTTCAGGGCTGTGTTCTTAACCTTTATGCTGTTTTGTCTCTCTTCATAACAGCCCAAAGGCTACCACTGCTATTCTCCTCTGAAGGTGAAGAAATCAAGGTTCCAAACAATTAAATCATTTATTAAATGTAACCTACCTAATAACTGGCCAGGCTCAGATTTGAACCGACTCTGACCTCAAGGCTCCTACTCATTTCATACTTTATTACTCCTTAGAAAGTTCCCTTGCTGTTAGACGAAAAAAAATTGGGGGGGGGGGGGTGGTTTCTAAGTAAACGTTATATATGTCTGAATTTGAAACTTAACTGTTTTACTAATATTATAAAGGTTAAGCAGATTAATTTACTTAGACATTCTTACAAAGAAACCCCAGAACTGCAACTTTCACACAGTGATTCCCAATGTTTATATCTGTAGACTCAACAAGAGCCATGCTCCCTGGTGGTCTAGTGGTTAGGATTCGGCGCTCTCAACAAGAGCCATGGGTGGTTTTGGGGGGGGGGGGGGGGTTAATTACAGTTGACATACAATATTAGTTTCAGGTGTACAATCCCATGATTATACATTTATATAACATACAAAGTAATCACGCCAATAAGTCTACCACCATATATAGTTACTAGAGACCCGGTGCACAAAAATTTGTGCACTTGGGAGGTTCCCTCAGCCTGGCCTGTGCCCTCTCGAAGTCTGGGACCCCTCGGGGGATGTCCACCTGCTGGCTTAGGCCTGCTCCTCGGGGGGACCGGGCCTAAGCTGGCAGTCAGACATCACTCTGGCAGCCTGGGAGCCCACGGGGGATGTCCACTTGCCAGCGGGGAGCAGGCCTAAGCTGCAGGCGGACCTCCTTAGTGCTGCTGAGGAGGCAGGAGAGGCTCCTGCCACCACCGCTGTGCTGGCAGCCGTCAGCCTGGCTTGTGGCTGAGCAGAGCTCCCCCTGTGGGGATGCACTGACCACCAGGGGGGCAGCTCCTGCATTGAGTGTCTGCCCCCTGGTGGCCAGTGTGTGTCATAGTGACCAGTCATTCTGCTGTTAGGGTCAATTTGCATATTACCCTTTTATTATATAGGATTATTATATAAGATTACAATATTTTTTTAAATATATTTTATTGATTTTTTACAGAGAGGAAGGGAGAGAGATAGAGAGTTAGAAACATTGTTTATTTTGTTTTTTAGATTCCACATATAAGTGAAATCATCATTGGCATTTATCTTTCTCTAATTTATTTCACTTAGCATAATACCCTCTAGGTCCATCCATGTTGTTGCAGATTTCATTCTTTTTTATGGTTGAATGATATTCCATTGTATATATGCACAACTTCTTTATCCATTCATTTCTTGATGGACACTTAGGTTGCTTCCATATCTTAGCCATCCTATCTAATAATAGACAAACATGGTAATGAACCATAACTTCGCTACCCTTCCCATTGGCTAATCAAGGCGATATGCAAATTAACCGCCAACTAAGATGGCGGTTAACTGCCAACAAAGATGGCGGTTAACTGCCAACAAAGATGGCGGTTAATTTGCATATGTAGGCACAATGCTGGGAGGCGAAAGGGGAAGGACAGAAGGAGCCCCCTGCCACTGACGGTGATTGGAAACCCAGGGGGCAGCTAAGAGCTGGGGTGGCAGGGCAAAGGCGGCCCCCCACCTTTGCCCTGCCCCCGGCTGTGATCGGAGAACTGGGCGCCTTTGCCTGCCCCCCCGGCCAGTGATCGAAGGAAGCAGGGGTGGAGTTG